TCCTCCTACTCCTCTCCTACCTCTCTCTCTCTCTCTCTCTCTCTCTCTCTCTCTCTCTCTCTCTCTCTCTCTCTCTCTCTCTCTCTCTCTCTCTCTCTCTCTCTCTCTCTCTTCCTCTCTTTCTGCCTCTTCGCCGTTCATCGTTTGCCCTCTCACAACCCTCATTCTCTTTCTCTCTCATTCTCCACACATACATATCGTCCTTCTTGCTTCTCGTCGCACGCGCCACGTCCCAACTACCTATATCGTCCCTCCTAATAATGTATGTCCTAAAGGTCGCGAAATAACTGACTTCGACGGGCGATGAATATCGCATCCGTCGTTGGTCAATCGAGCAAATCGTAAATCGACAACGTAAAAAAAACGCATAATGAGCATTGTTGACTGTTACCTATAAGGAATAGTTCGTCTGCTTTTTATCGCGGCGTTTGTGACTTTTGTCTGCCTGACGAGTCATCAATGGCATGTGGGGGTTGGAAAAGGCAACGCTACTGCGGCAGCCAATAGTTTCCAGGCGTGTGAAGGCGCCACGGGGGTTATAGGGCATAATTTAGTGGACAGTTTGATATACAAACAATCTTTAATGAAATTCTTGGTGTTCATTAATAACGCATTACAGCCTCGCGCGCCGGTGTGTCGGCATCGGTACCCGGGAATCCCACGCTGCCTCTCCCTTTCCCTCCCGTTCTACACCCCTTTTATACCCTTCCATTTTCCTGCTCATACTCCGATGCCGCCGCTTCCACACGTACCATCGTCCGACACCCTTTATCGCTCTGGCTTTTAACCAGCCCTTGTCCTCTCCGCCGGAGTGTCCTGAAATCACCACGTGAATATGTTTTCGCGTTGACAATTCGATTTTTTATTGATTGTACAAATCAACATTCCTTTATTTATTTGAAAAGAAAAAACGAGTTAAATTTATGTTATAATAATTATACCATTTTATTGTCGATGCAATATAATATAATTATTCAATTCAATGATAATGATTCTTAATAAGCATAATAAAAGAAGTAAAATTTTGTTAAAGTACTTCTTCATTAACATATCTTTCAGAATATTATTCCTTACTTTTTGACTTTGAAAATCCACGACGTGCCTCCCGTGAATCTCTGTTCGTTCCGTCTGCAAGTTTTTGCGAGGCCACGTCGGACGCGGGACACGATACCCAATATATTGAGACGAAGAAGTCTCCCCCATCGGAGAAACCCGGGGAATAACCAGCCTCTGGGTAGGAAAAAAAAGTAATTGCCTCTTGATACACGCCGATACCCCACCTGCGGGGATGCCGCCTCGTAATGATGTTCGCGTTGGCGAACTTAGTTCGAAATTAAATATCGGGGCAAGGAGGTGGAACGGCGGGGGTGTCGAAGAGGGAGAACGTCGAAGAGGTATCAGGAGGTATTGCGAAGGGGGAGAAGAGCGAACGACGTTGCGCACCTGCCTTTTTCCCGAGGCGGCACGATAAAAATCAAACTGGAAAACAAACGAGGAGCGGGATCGTATTATAAAGTTTTTTAATCGATAGACGATGCGCGTCTCGGGAGGCGAAAGAGACAGTGGGATGGGTAGATATCTCGCGGGTAGACAGGCGGGAGGGACCGGAAAAAAAGAAAGAGAGAAAGGGTCCCAAAGAGAAAGAGGCGCGCGATCGAGCGAGGAATCCTGCGGCGTGCTTACTGGCTCGTGTAATAATGAATTTATACCCCGCGCAAGAGCGCTTTCGGGATCGGCGACATACCACTTTTCTTTCTCGCTTCGCCTGCCTTCTTAAAATTTTAATTAATGAAAACGCGGTCGTAGCTGATGAGATCTTTGGAGGGTCTTTATCTTATGGATGCGCGAATACGCATTACTGTTACGAAAATGTGATTCCAGCTGCGACAAAATCTCTCAATCTTACGTGCATTTTTCTCTCGCTTTTATACTTTTCTTAAAGACTATTTCTTCATTCTGTATCGCATTGTCTCTTTATATTAGGCGACTGAAATTTGGTGCGAGGCTTAGGAATCTTAGCTTTAATTTTTTATATTTTAATAATGAAATTATAAGTAATATTATTTAGACTATGAAACAATACAATACAATGTATTAATACTCACGATTATTAATAATATTTTTTTATTATTTGTAGTCGTTACAACCGACAGATCCGCCAATATTTGAGATCACGAATGTACTAATAAACGAGACAGCAACGCAACTAGCGCTATGGGGCAAGTTGGGCATTGCTCTCATGGAATTACCCAAACGATGGGGCAAAGATGCTGTTTATGAAGGTGGCAAAAAAGAAATTCTTTGCACGTGAGTACATGTCAATCTTAAAAATTTCTATATTACTTGTATGAAAAACTTGTATGAAAAACTTACAAATCTTATATATTATAAGTAATAAAAAAATTTACTTGCTTAAAAATATAAACAATATGAAAAATAAAATTTTAATACGGATAATCATGCTGCAACAGTTAACGTAAATAAACAATGATTTATTAATGAAATATATAGTCTCAGAATATTTTGAGATTTTTGTTAAACATAACAATTTCGTTAAAATATGTATGTTATAGTGTGTCAATTTTCTAACCGAGACAAAGTAATTGAATTAACGACACTGAGAAACAACGTCTAATGTCGACGATCTCATTGGTATCGCTACCAACATTGATTCCGGATCCGCAGTCAGGAAAGAAACGCATATCAAGAGAAAGTCTGACCGTAAAAACGGAGATAAGGTTAGCGGCGGATAATAAATCGCGCTATCTGCCTTCCTTCCTCCGCGCCGTCGCCGCGTCTCCCGTAGGCGTCCTAATATCCTGTAATTAAGAGGGTGTTACGGTGACGCCCGGGGAACCCCTTCGGCCTCCCTCTTATGGAATTAAGGTGGCTTTACTCGGTTAGTTTTCAAAAGTTCCGGGGGCCGGAAAGCACCGCTGAATACTAACCGCCTCATCAACGACACATGCCACCCGAGACTACTGTCTCGCGTAACATTACTCGGTAGTGTGTGCCGTCGCCGCCCCCGGTTCCGTTTGCGCTCCGACCCCCCGACCTCCGTAATCTTTCGGGCGATTAGAACGTCGCGCAATTACGGGCGCCGTTGAAGATTACGCTCGCTCGAGCGCTCGCTGGATCACGATGCAGTCGATCGTCGTCGATCAGTACTTCGAATATCATTCTCTCAGATCCATGCATTCCGTAATACGTTGTGCTAACATCTTGTTCATTAATGAGATTATAGTTTTATATAATATTTTTAGATTTCATAATAGAATTAAAAGATTTGAAAATATATCTAAAATAATTCCAACGTATTATCGATTTTAAGCAAAATAAATTTTTCAAGTCTTTTAAAGCATCATAATACGGAGTATCACGAAATATTTCAGTCTCAGTGATAAAAGTAGATATCACGTAAATTTAAAACTCGCCTCTGAATTAAGTAGTAATTAATAGCGAAATACGATGACTCTTAATCCGGTGGTATAAACGTGAAAAGGGTAACCGGCTCGTTTTAAGTCGTCCCACGCATTATAATTTCATAATAAGCTGAATTCAAAATAAATGCAGGTACCTTCCCTGACTTCCTGCTAATTCGTAATTCCGAACTTTTTCCGGAAGCGAACGAACCGCTTATTTCTCCAGAGGGAGAAAGAGAATGAGAGCAATGCGAAAGAGGAGGAGGTAGCGAGAGAAGGGAAAATCAAGGCAGAGAGGAACAACCGACCGCTGCTAAACAAACTGGCCAGATTAAGAGCGGCGTTTGCGCTAAAGTTTTTTCGTCGTTTCACTTAGGCGATTTTGCTCGGCCTTCCGAGTTCGAGTGAATTTATTAAGAACATACATAGAGCGTACATTTACGCAATTCACCGCGCGAAAAATCGCGCGAAGCAGCTTCTGAGTGAGTTGCGGTCATTAGAACGAATCTCGGGGATTTAATGTCTGCCATCTTCCAGCCGGCTTAAATAAGGCTAAATGAAGTTTATGCGTTATTGCCGGCAAAACTTCCGGTAAACCCGGCCGGCGTGGCCTTGCCAATGGCCTAAAGCTCCGAGCGCATCATCATCTCGCGAGTTCAAGATACATGATGCGAAAATCAAATTGCTAATCTAAAGAAATGTCTCGCACAAGAAAATTGAAGATAGTTACAACGAAAATACTATTTTAACTTCAAAAATTATTTGTATGTTGAGAAAGTAATTCACAAGAGTTTCATTTTTTGACTCAGCAGACTTGATTTAGATCATTCTCTTCCAGAACGTCAGAATGATCGAAGAGATTAAAGATGCAAAAGGCAACTTTCGATAGGACACTCGATGTCCTCATCGTCCTCATCCTGAAGCCGAATAACAGGTCCCGCAGCTTGCCACCCGCGACGAGCGGAGAGGATGGGCTTCGGATTAAGCAAATGGCGGCAATAATAGTGATTATTCGGATTATGATATCAGAGCGCGAAGTGGGTTCGCTTGGACTTACTGGCAGCCACTAACTGCCGCGCCGCCAAATCCTGACTTCAAGACACCGGATTAAAACTATTACCACTTCGCGGCACCCCTTCGGTCTCGCTCCATTTCATTCCTCCTTTTTGCTCTTCCTGACGGACCGCGTGTCTCTCTCATCTTTGGGAAACTTTTTTGCTCTCCTTGGATGTTTTAAACATTTCCGTTCAAAAATCTCACAACCATGTTTGCGAACTAAACTAAAAAGACATATCGACACTAATGTGCTAATATCGGATTAATAGATTTCTTTACGAGTTTATGATATACGTAAAGCAATTATCTCTATCTATTTTTATCATGTAGATATACTATTTATTCTGCAAAAAATTGATTGAAATATAATACAGATCATTTAATTTACCAGTTGAAAAGTCATAAATTAAAAATTAATAAATTATTCTTATCGCATAGTTATTATCAACTAAAATATTTTATGAAATGTTATATTGGTGGTATAAATCATAGCTCTAAATTTTATAATACTCTTTTGACACATTGTCCGGTTATTTATATTATTTATATCCAATATGACCAATTACATTTTTAACTATTGATATCTAATGATCTTAATAATACTCGAAGATTCCTTTTATGAGTCAAAGCTTCTATAAAAATAAAACTTTTTAATCTGATTTTTTTCCATATTGCAGAATCGACAGATACTCTCACAATGAAAATGAAATAGTCACTTTATTGCAAAATGAGATAACAAAGTTTTCAAAAATCGTATCACTTTATAAGTGTGTTAGATGTATTCATGAAGCAATAAATAACGACAGTTTAGCCGCGGTTTATAACGGTTTGTTCTCCACCCCCGAAGCAACGGCAATACTCCCCGCGGATAATCACTATAGGAAGTAAGTACAATTCCTACCGTATAATGCGGTCATGGTGTGGGTGAGTCACGCTACACCGTCGCGAGTCCCGGTATTAATTCGACAACGAATTGCGAAAGCGGCGCCATTCCGCGTAGTACCGTAAGATCGTTGCCTCTTGGTTGGCTCGCGCGGCTAATTATTGTTTTAAGGATTACCGTTATGTGTTTATTATGCGGCCTAGAGGACCTTGCTCTACCCTACCTTCCTCCCACCACCCCTTACCTGCCTTAATATTCGGTAGATTTCAGCTTCTCGGGAAACGGTAGGAGAAATCTACGCCGTTTCTTCCCTCCCACTCGCCTCTTTCCTCCCATCGTCCTCCCCCTCCCCCTTCTTCTCTTCCACGAAAAGTCAGCCTACGTTTATGAATAATTCTCACCTCTTATAACCCTTCCACCTCCTCTGCCTCAACCTTTACCCAATCCACTCGCCAGTACCGCGAATGCCTCACCGAACCACCCTTGGAATATTCGCCTCGTAAACCCCTAATGCCGGCTCTTCATCTGCGAGCTCCCAGATTCTGAACTCCGCGAAACAGGCGAATCGCCGTAGCGCTCGCAGCAAGAAACGGAAAGTAGATAATGGACACGTGTAATTATACCACAAGCTTTCCCGGCTAATGATCTTATTAAAGATTTGCTCTCATAGCAAATACGATTATTGCTCTAAAAAAAATGTGAAATATAATTATCACGTATATATGTGATTCAGGATGAAGCAATAGTTAATAAAATTTTTTTCAAGTGTCAACAAAATTGCAATATTTGTTTTATAGTCTCGTTACCGATTAGCTAATGAGATGACAAAACATTTCAATACTCACTTCTGCTTCTTTTAATCTATCGGAATATAAAAATGTATCGGAATATAAAAAAAAAGGAATTATTGTGCATAACACGATGAAGCACCAACTCACGTTTATAATCGAGATTTATTACTCCGATCATCTTTACGATGCGTCGGTATTTAACAAGCGATAAAAATGCAGGCTCCGCCGATATCGCTCCGCGTGAATTGAATTTATATTTTTTTAGATCGAACAAAAAATGCGGAATCACATTGCATTTGGAAGAAATATTTGTCTGGGCGTGATGCGCACGTAATGTTTATGGCGGCGAAAGAGTATGGATGTGTACATGCCGGCGACGGTATTTTATATCTTTCACATATGACCACGCATTCCTCAAAATTTATATTAAAAACCATCGTATCGCGAGTCACTGTTTGCACGATGTAACTGCCAGATTGCAATTTTACCACGGCCGAAAAATATTCAGTTTTATGTTGTACTTCGAATCGCCACGTCGACAGTCATACTTATTCGAAAGTTAAATGATTAATTTTTTTTAGATTGAATATCTAATTTTTGCAATAATTTGAGGAAAATTGCATAATAAATATCCAAAGAATAAATAAATTTAAAGACTTAAATATAGGCTCTATCAATAAATAAAGGCTAAATAGTCAGATTAAATCTGAGTAGATAAACTACTCGTCATGTCAAATCGGCTAAGTGAAAAAAAACTTCGATAATGACATACATGTTACAAAAACTACAGTTGCAGCTTATATATACAGAATGTCCCAAAATATATTATTTAATAAAATCTGAGTGTATCAAAGCAGAAAAATTAACCATTATACATTGTATTATTTTTTGTTACTCTCTAGTTTGATCCACATTCAAACTGAGTGACCATCTGATTTAAGCTGTCACATAGAGTTATCGTTTAAGCAGCTATATGAGTGTTGAAAAAAGTCATAATATTTATTAAACACACGTATTTTGATATTCGTTTGTAAAACGCTTCGAGTCGAAAGACAAACAATAAAGAAGATAGATTTACGAGGCATCATAAAGCTCGCGGGCTAATCTGTCACGCGTGCAAGCTCATTTATTTCCGAACGTGGAAATTTCACGGGC